AGAGATGTCAGAGATCTCTCGTTCTCAAGCTGAGCAAAGGCAAACTCAGCTCGATGCTTCGAGGCAGTGTCCGCCATTTGGAGACGCCTATTCCGCTCATGCTCGAGATCGTCGCGTAACCCTTGCGTTACGCGATCAAAGAAGCTCTCGGGAACACACCGATCCACATGATCGTGTGGAGAGCGTCTTTCCTCCTCCTCCACCTCCATTAGAGGACTCTCGCGGTGGCCAGCGCTATCTAGTAGAGCAGCTGTTGAACCACCGCGACGTGAACGGACGTCGGACGAGTTACCTCGTCCGGTGGCGCGGCTATCCCCCGTCCTGGGATTCTTGGGAGCCCCGCTCCCAATTGATGGTTGACGTACTGGGTCTGGTCGAGCAGTACGACGCGGCACATCCTGTGCCGCAGAAGGACCGCCGGAGAAAGTCTTCCCGGCACGGTCGTAAAGGGATTTCAGGTTGTCAATCCCTTCGTACATCTCAGTAGAGACACGTACGCGCCACCACGGGCTGGTAAGGAGGTAAGCCTCCTTAGGTGCTCGTGCAGAGTTGTTCACACAACATGGGCACGAGTCTCCCCAAGAGAGGCAGGGTAATCCTTTCTCCCTTGACAGACGATGCAGCTTGTAGCGTGCACCTGTGGGGGTTCGCTTTTCAAACTTATCACGAGCTTTGATAAGTTTGTCGTTCCAAGCGTCACGACCTACATCCTCGAGGTTATGGATGTAGGCGTTCCACGCCTGAAGTAGTGAGGGACCATCACGTTTGTGATTCCCACTGTACCATCGATGTCTGAAGAAAGCATCGATGAAGAACTCATGTTCAGCGCGATAGTCTTTCGCGCTGGGGTCAAGGTGATGGATCCTTGACGAATCGAACAATCGTGTTCGATAACGATCACTCGTCGTCGCCGACAAGTGATCCATGACGGATTTTGGAGGTATCCATGCCTTCTTCTCGGGAGCGAGACGCAACACATTGCGGTCCCGCTCTTCCTGCGACGTGCCGACAGAAGTACTGGCACCTCGCTGTGAAGTGGTGTCCATTGGAGAACCGACACCACTATTAGCGCCCGAGTCTCGCGACCTCGAGCGCCTTCGCTTCGGCGATGGTTCATCTGACTCATCAGATGAACCAAAGATGCTGCGACGCAAAGCATCGTCCATGCCACGCTTGGCAGGCGGCTTAGATTCAATCGACGTCGATACGGATCCGTCATCCGTATCAGGAGAGTACGAGACACCGAGCTCGTACTCTGTGAAGACACGAGTGTCTTCATGACCAGCGCCTGCGTCACCAAGTGACACAGGCTGGGTCTCTTCAGCAACCGATGGGACATCAGTTGCTGTTGTTTCTGCTTCGGCGTCCGCACAGAGACGTGCAGACGCGCTCTCGGCGGCCTTGCTCGCGCATCGCATGGGCTTGTTTACCATGCGATGAAATGTTGGAAAGTGGACGCGGACCAACAAGTGCAAACCCTGTCCCAAATGATTTGGGACGAGTATCCATTTAGTCAATCAGTCACTAAAGTGACTGATGGTTAATGGGGGTGATGTAACGGGGTGAATCGTTACATAACAATTTATAAGAAATTGTTAATAGAATATAACTATAAGAGTTATATTCTCAGAATATTGTCATAAGGACAAATATTCTGTAGCACTTACAAGTAGTTCCTAATTGGTTGATATAGGCCATTATATCAACCAACGAAGACGCGCCACGACAGACGCACGCAATGAGTGGTGAGCAGATAATTGATTTACACATTTGTATTTAGACATAGTTAGATGAAGATAAATAGTGATTTATTGCAGACATTAACTATTATAAATACAGTTCTACTTTTTACTCTAACCAAGTACTCGCTTCTTCTTACCGTCTTCCTCTGCACGTACGAGTGTACGTGAAGTTACGAGGCACCGCCTTATTCTGTTATCAGAATAAGTAGCTTGTACTGTCACCAGTACAAGCTTCAGGGTGCCCCGTTACAACGTATCTTAGACAAGATCAATAGAGGAAGCGAATTAAATTTACGTTTAACTCTACAATAATTATATCCTAATATTATCTGATCCAGGCACTCATGTCCTGAATGAATAACTTCAATATATTCTCTATCTTGTGGGTGACACCCGTCAGCCCATATAAACCAATACGATTTCCTATAACTAATACAGTGGTATTCTATCCCGTGTGTCTAAGATACAGGGTACAGAGTACCCTACGATGTGGAACCACCTTACACAGCCTGTATCCTTAGTCCACGAGTCAATTGATCTCATCGCACGGGCAAAGCTTGCAACGGCATCAACAAGCTCGCGCAGGTGTCTGGTGGTCGTCATAGGATTAGCGATTTCCGAAATATTTATGTAAAGGCATATGCTCCTTCAAGTCCTCTGCCCTGACACAAATGTCTTGCCAAGTCTTTAGCACTTATACACTCGAATGTTGTTATGGGGTTACACGTTGGTTATTGAACCGGTTGTGTTGCGTATCCACACCAGGTAAAGATCGGTGGATCTGAGTGGTGCATTATTGATACCACGTACTATCGGTAATACCGCACCTTATCGGGTAAAATAAGTAATAAGACTTCCGTTTTATAATCGCAATGTAGTAGTCAGTACGACAAGGTTTTAGTTTATTTAAGTAGTTGCACGAGTGTTAGTCTTGTCGAGGCACTTATTCTAATTTAACTAATAGTGACCAGTTAGTGTGTGATTCTGTGAATCGTGATCCCTTTGGAACTCGGATGGTTGAGCTTGTAAGCTTAAACGACTTTGCGTTGCTGTTAGTTTTGCATAACTGAGAGACGCTTTGAGTCTAAAAATTCCTCTATCAAGGAGAGCCAAGTAGCTCCGCTACACACTAGCTTTAAAGTCACTCATGCTGGGAACCGACGTGCTCCATGTGCCCAACGAGTGAACGTGCTGTCTTTCTCGGCCTCACTATTACCTAGTTGTAGAACGAACTGGATCGTTCTCTGCGTCGATACAGAGGCAACACGTGCTTGTTCCGTTAACTTGATTTGGTACTCGAAGATCGTCAACGCTTCGGGCGTCATAGATATCTCAAACTGAGAGCATCTCGTACGGCAATGTCGTCAGACGTCGTAGCCTCGCGCTCTGTGCACCAAGTTGTCAAGGACTGCCGTGCGAACTTCCGCAACAACTCATCAACGCTCAAAGGCTTAGAGCAAGAGTTTGAATGCGCTTCGGCAATATCTAATGTCTAAGATGGACGTCTAGCTCTTATACTTTCCTCGATACAGCTTTGCTTTTGCTCATCGAGCCTGTTTATGATGACGGGCTCATCAAGAGTGATTGAGGCACGCAACGCTGTTGGCGCTTCATCCTTGCTTCGTTCCAAAATGGGTTTGGCGTTATGCGCGAAGGTTCGCACGACGCTGATGTGGCATATTCGGGGGTCTCACCCTCTTCCATGACAGTGTCACTGTCACAACAATATTCTCTTCTTGTATGATGTCTTCCATAGACTCGGAAGAATGCGAAGACTTCGCCTATGATGAGCAAGGTGTTGTAGACACAACCATGAGGTTATCTGTTCTCTCCGAGCTATCTCAATGAGAAAGGTGAAGAATGTCGATTCGGGGTATCCAATGTTTGGTGGGGTAGGTGTACCGGGTGTACACAAATGGTTGTGATAACCAGATGCACCTGGTGTGGTACAAACAGAGCGATCGGTGTCACGGATAAGGCACACTTTTGTATCACATACGCCAAGCGATGATACCGTACCCTATCGGTTATGGTTAGATGATATCATTTGTAATAGGGTATTCTTTGAGGCGACGTAGTTCTGGTGTGGTACACCAGAAGAACCGCCATCAGAACTCTTTGATTAAGTGGCATAGTTTTAAGGTTAAAGACACAAGTGATGTTAATCATCGCTACGAATCAGTAAATATATTCAGTTCCCCCTTTGATCAGTTTCAGACACGAGTCTTTCGAAGAAATCTCTGGTCGATAAAATGTTAGTGCTCCTGAGTTAAGGCTGTGTACTTTGGGCACTGGTGCCACGTGATTTCTTGGCCATCTGTAGTCCCTGAAACAGGACTAGAAGCTTGGGAGATTGTACATACACTTAAAGTTGAGTCTCACCAAGTCTGCAAGACTTGGGACCCTTTTTACTTAACAAGCAATCATCTAGTTTAAGCATCTCGTTTAAGATGCTAAGAGATTCCACGAGTCCAGATGTCTTCCTCTGTCTAGGGAGTAATGGTAGCTTCGCTACACTATGTGCAAGAGTTGTGGCCGCACTCGGAACGACATAATCTTGGTAAATAGTTTGTAGTCGTTGTTGAGTACCTCGATCGAAATATGATCGAGGGGCGATGCAGAAGCCGCAGGTTTTTCAGGCACTGGATGTGGGCGTCCCCAAACGACTTCGGCAGCACGCCACACTCCATCCATTGGGTGTACAGTGCAGCCAAGATAGACGCAGTAATCACTCCACGACTTCAACAAGATCGCTAGTCAAACTTGACGTCCGCAATATCTTGCATACTTCGCATGCATTGATGCTGGTAGCTTGCCGCATCCACCCTTGGTACAAGACACGAGAGTAAGCTGCAGCATGGAAGTGATCGAGGTCTTAGAACGTGCTGCGAAGCCTCACCTTCCCGTCTTCTTGGTAGTTGCTCACAGTAAGACCAATACACTTTCAGAAAACCACTGGCACATGTTCATGTCGATTCGGTCGGAAGGTCTTTGGCTTCGCCATCTGAGCCACCGTCGCTGGTCCGGACACTTACAAGGGCTGGTTGTGTCTCGAGTCCTCAGCTGCTTTCTACGCTCGTAATCAGTGCAAGCATGTGACAGACGCAGCTTTCCCCATCCAAAGAGACCATGCACGGCTTTCGTCGGGAAGCCAGACCACACCTGGCACTGCCAATCGCTCTTCATCGAGCAAAGACGTCGTCCACTCGACTCCATTTCCACTCGCTCTACACGTAGAAAGCGTCAACTCGACCGACCATGGGGCCGTTCAGTGATCCGTCAGCGAAAATCCTCATCGAGCGCGTATCGCGCTGCAGTCTCTCACGGCACGAGAACGTTCAGACTCTTCACTTGGAGCCGAAGGACGTGGCGGAAGCTACACCCAAAGACCCGTTCACTGCCTTGAGATCACCCTATTGCACTGAACAGCCGACGCCATGCGAACTTGAGAAGGCAAAGGACGTCGACGACAACCGCGTCGTGAATATCTGGGACCGCCGGTGGTTTGGACTTGTGCTTCACAGCGTCGCGATCGGAATCGTCAGTACCGTCCTCCCGCTGTCTGTCTACCCGTTTCTAACATGTAACCTCAACATGGAGGGCACCCAGACCTTGTCAGCACGTACGCTGCTGGGACTACCATGGGCGCCCAAGCCCATTTTCTCCATGTTCATCCAGTGCTTCCCCTTTCCAAGCGGCTTTCGATACCGCTTCGTCATGCACCTCGGCTGGCTCGTCACCGCTGCAGCTTTGCTTGCCATTTTCTTCCACGACCAGCCACCACCTTATTTCCAAGACCGGAAGATAGTTGGAACGCCGCTGGACGAACTCTCGAGTCAAGACATGAGCACGATCAACTTGGAAGCTCCGTCTCATGGAGCGTTTTACGTCATGATGATGTCCGTGGCTTCAGTAGGGTACGTGCTGGCGGACGTGGCTGCTGACGAGCTGATCCGTGACATAGGATTGCAGCATTTCGGCAGGTTGGACACTCCTTTGAATGAACAGGATGAGGTCCTCCAGACAGTCATGACCAAGTACCGGGTAATTGCTACGCTCGCGTGCTTCTTGTTCATGGGAGTTGCAATGAGCGGATGGGACTATGGTGGAGACTTTGACTTCACGCTCGAGTATACGCAAGTCATGCTCACGGTGGGACTAGTGGCTGTAGTGCCTGTGCTCTTCCTCAGCTTCACGTCGTGCGAGTCCGCGTGCGAACGGCACTCACTACGCCAATCACTTCGTGAGACTTGGGCAGTCCTGAACGACTGTCGACTGAACTACGTACTGTGCTGCCGCTTTGTTGGCGGCATTTGCGCTGGTGTGAGTGCAACAGCCGTGAATCCAATCGCGTTCTATTACGCCGGTGTGCAGCCTCTCAATGATACCGTCGTCTCGTTCGTCGCTATTCTCTTGGTTCTCTGTGCTCTGAAATGGGTCAGCACCAAGGGCTGGGACGTGGATTACCGGGCCGTCATTGTTGCTGGCACAGTCGCGACACTTGCACTGGATTTGGGCGCGACGATGTTCACGATCTGGAACGTCGTTCGGAGTCAATGGCTCTGGATCGGTTTGCCCGTGATGGAAGCTATTCCGTCGGCTTTGGACTACACGATCACGACGGTGATTCTGACCGAGATAGCGGATCCCAAAGCCCATGCTGCCGTAAGTGGACTCGTGATGAGCGTGTCATTTGTGGCTAGTCCAATGGGTCTTGTAGTGTCAAAGTACATCGATGCGCAGTTCGACGTGACGAACCAGGACATTATGACGGACACGACGGATGTGCGGACACAGATCATGGGGACGTTCTTCGTTGCCTATGCGACGCAGCTCCTGGCCCTGCTTTGGCTGTTGGCTTTGCCTAAGAATGCGAGCGAGTCGCAGTCAATGGAAGCTGGTGGCAGCACGTCAACTGGTCGAGCGGTGCTCTTCTTAGCACTACTGAGTGCGAGCTTCCTCATTGTTGTTGCAGTGCACGCACTTTCAGTGTATGCACCGACAGCATGTCTGGCTATAGCTGGCGGCAAGGGGTGCTAAGATAATACAAATACAACAAGCCTACTATTCATCCCTCGTCCCTTTTGACTGGAGCTGCTGTTGTGACCTTGTACCTGTTGGGCAAGGCACGAAAGGAATCGCTACAGGACCTAAGTACAATGGTCGAAAGTGAGCCACGGAGAAGGGTTTTCAACAACGATCTCCAGTTTGATCGACAGATTCACGCTTTAGTCTGGAATATCAGCGGTCGCACAAATACATACCGGTCAGTCTTCTCAAAGCTTGGGCGTTCAGCTGACTGCACGGCACATCCGAGAGCTCAGGGGTTGTACATGAAATCGCTCAGAAACTGAGTCAAGTTTTCCGGCTTTGGAATCGTGGCAAAGCCCTTCTCGTAGCCATACTCCGCGACAGCTTCAGCAATCTTCAGCGAGACTTTGCGGATCATGGACAGCGGCGGGTAGACACAACCCGTCTCGAGGTCAGCAGGAGTGGTCAAGCCAGCCAGCGTCTTTGCAGCAATGATCATGACCTCGTCGTCGACGTGGGTCAGCCCGGCTGCCACAATACCGAGACCGATGCCAGGGAACACGTACGAGTTGTTGCCTTGGCCAGGCACATAGCGTTTGCCATTGTACTCGACAGGATCGAATGGGCTGCCGCTGGCAAAGATGCACTTGCCGTCCGTAAATGTGTAAGCCTCCTCGGCGGTGCACTCGGCCTTGCATGTCGGATTGCTCAGTGCAAAGATGATAGGACGCTCGTTGTATTCGCACATCTTCTGGCACACATCTTTACTAAAAGCCTTGGCGATGGTGCACACGCCAATAAGGGCCGTCGGTTTGATCTTTTCAACAGCTGAAAGCAAGTCCGGACACTCAGGGGCATCGTGTGCAAACAAAAGCTTGTGGTGCTGCAGCGACTCTTTGCGAGACTGTACAATGAGACCCCGCGAGTCCACGAGCCAGATCTGTTTGCGAGCTTCTTCCACCGACTTGCCCGTCTCCTCGGCAATAGCCTGAGCAATGAGCTCGGCAATACCCGTTCCAGCTTCACCAGCACCAAGGAATAGAAAAGTCTGTTCACAAATGGATTTGCCCGAAAGCGGTACAGCAGCCAGCAGGCCAGCAAGCACGACCGAAGCCGTGCCCTGGATATCGTCGTTGAACGTACAGTGCGTGTTCTGGTACTTCCGCAGGAGATTGAACGCAGTCGAATTGCCAAAGTCTTCGAACTGCAACAGCACGTTGGCTCCATAGGTTGCCTTGGCAGCATCCATAAACTCCTCAACCAGTTGCTCAAATAGCTCGCCACGCACGCGCTTCTGACGCAGACCAATGTAAAAGGGATCTGCCAAGTACTCCTCATTGTTTGTACCGCAGTCCAGCACAACTGGGAGACACATGTGAGGCGGGACACCCGCACACGCCGTGTACAGTGCGAGTTTGCCAATGGGAATCCCCATGCCATTGGCCCCTTGATCCCCTAGTCCAAGAATGCGTTCACCGTCAGTGAAGCAAATGGCTCGAACGTCTTTCTGCGGCCAATTGGCCAAGAGCTCAGCGACGTGGCCAATGTCGTTGACTGAGATGAAGAGACCGCGTGGTTTCTGGGTGTAATTGTGACTAAACTCCTGGCAGCCTTGACCCACGGTCGGAGTATACACGATCGGCATGAGCTCGTATGTGTGCTCGATGAGCAGACGGTAGTACACGTCCTCGTTCGTGTTCTGCAGGTTCTGCATGAACAGGTACTTCTCGATTGGAGACGTCTTGCGACGAAGAGCGGCCATGGCGCGCTGGCTCTCGAGGGCGGTCGTGGACACAGCAGCTGGCAACAAGCCGCGCAGACCGAGTTGCTGGCGCTGTTCGGGTGTAAACGTCAGGCCCTTATTGGTCGTGGGTGACAGCATGGCAGCGTATCCCGTGGAAGTCATTTCGCTGGTTGGTGGAGTGGACGCGGGATTCCTCTCAATGGATTTGGCTTGGAAAACGATATGAGCTCGAGGCGGCAAATATCCGAATGACGCTGAGTCACTTCACGCACGTTGGCGAGACGACGAAAAAAAAAGACCTTCTTGACTGTATGGGCATACAATGCGCAAGTAAAGTGATGAGGGGCTGTCACATGGGGAGCGACGAGAGGCGGCTCGGTCTGTCTCGCTGTTTTGGTGCAAAACCGTGGGGACTACTCTACTGCTAACAGCTGTTCACTATTTGCCACGCAGCGCCAAAGCAGCTCGCGGAATACGGGTCGGAACTTTGTGCTGGATCCTAACGGTCGCACTTGACCCTAAGGGTCCATTCCGCGAAACGTTTCATAGTGGAATGGCTGGTTCGACCCAAGGGCTGTCAGCGATAGTGTACCACATCGGCCTTTCTGCGTTGTTGTCCGAAGAACTTGCAGTGGAGTGTCGAGACTGACGCGGGTCCGCGACACGTGGGAAGAAGATCCACAGCAGGCGGAGATTGCAGCGCAAAAAGAAAAGCGACATTGGCATCAAGTTCCGCTACTTTCGGGTCTTTTGCTGCAGGTCGATCCGCTCGTTTTCAAACAACGTTCGATCTGTAGCAAGTCATACAACAACCAACGTGGAAGACGAGTTACTCGAGTACGAGCAGCGATCGATCGCTTACGATCGTGCCGCACAAAGCTCGTTAACAAGCAGCCTCGTGTGTCGAAACATGGATCGTCCAGCGTTCGGCACACTGCGCTTTTTCTGTGACGATTCATCCAGGTTCGAGCTCTGACGATAGCCGAAACTTTTCCAGCTGCTTCCCTGCGAGTCTGTCGGGTTCGGTGCCCTGTTCCAGCCACTGTGTGAATGCACGATGCCACGGCACTTGGCTGCTATCGGGAATAGAGACTTCATGATTGGGATGCAAGAATTGAACTGCACGCGTTGCAAACCGAGAGGAGCTATGCAATCATCGCTCCTCAATGTGTGGAAGGAGCGTAAGTCACCAACGCATGCTGGTAGAACGCAAGTCATTTGACGCGTGGACGAAAAACTGTCGTGGCTGCACTGGTCATTCTGAGGCTGCCGAGCTGCGTGGACACGGGTCTCCTCGATTGACAACTCACTGCCGAGCTTTGCACCACCAGTTCGATCCTCTGGGCGCACAAGCTCGCCTCCCTATCGCTCATGAAAATTTGCTGTGCCTGATCGTCGTGTAGCCAGCTATCACACTACACTGTCTCCCCGGTATATGCTCGCTGGTGTACCTGCGGATACCTAGATTTGCGCCTCGTGCCGAATATTTGGGCTAGCCGACGACTTCACAGGTCCAAGCATAGGCACGAATACACGGACAAAAGGTTCACTCGCACGAGCTAGCAATTTAATGGCACGAACGACAAGATGGTCCCAGCTTATCAAAGTCATGCAAGGTCTGCTCGGTCGTTTTGACGTTGCAAAACCCTGGAAACTGCTATCGTGAAGCCAACGTGAGCAGTGCCAGCCCTCATTTCCATCGGCATACTTGGAGCGCCAATCAAGTTCAGCGTTGTCCTCAGTGTTTGCTGTCGTTGTCGTGTGGGAACTACGTTGCCAAGTTCGAATGAATATTGCACGCTGTTCCGAAGACTATCGCTGCCTTGTTGTACCTCAACCTCTTGCCTAGGGGCAACGGACAACGCCTCCACCACAAGTTCAGGAGCAACAAATACCCACACTCTGTGGCCTTCCGTTGCAGCTGAACTCGCTTTTGACGCAGAACAAGCGCGTCCTTTGGTAGCTGGTTGGCGCCCAGACTACGCGTTGGATGCGAGTATCTAAAATTGTGGTGCGTACAACAAGAACCCGGTGCATGTAGGAAAGTCTACACTGCAACGAGCCGCGTCTGATGAAACCCTGCGAGATGGAGCCCAACTGTTAGAAATGTAATGGGCGTATCACGGGCAACATGCGATACCCACCACGACAGTCAAGATGCATGTGGCATCACTTAGAAGGCTGTGCAGTCATTCTTTTCAAACCGATGGCCAAAAGGAAGACGCAGAGTAAGCGTCTTCGTCTATAGTGAGTGACTGGAGGCATGGCGTTATTGAGATACCCGCAATGATCTCCCCTAATAGATGGCATGCTGGTCTCGTTGGGCTCGTAGTCGAGGGTCTTAGCTCGCGCGTATGTAATTGTTCGAGTCATAAGAGCTGTCACGTGACACAATAAGTGCTGGTCCATTCGTTCGTGTAGCACAAGCACATCGCACTGCAAGAGAGAGCAAAGAGCAGCAGATACGATATGGTCCCTGACGTTGCTGAGGCGAAGCTGAAAGCAAGATGGAGCTGACTGGGACAGGACCTACTACCGAGCAGATGGACTTATGAGCTTGGAGACTGAGGTAGCAGACGTTGTAATGAGATCATTTGTCAATGGAAGGTCAATAACTTGTGAACAAGACTAGTTGCCATTCCGGCACAGACGTCAGCTGTCGTGAACCACCAGCACACCACTAGCAGCACAAGTACTGGTTGGAATGCGCTCGACGACCTCACTAAACTATTAGAAACGCGAGTCACTATCGTTTCTCGCAAGAATGATCCAAGTCGCAAAGGCACTCGTTGGCACAGATGCAGCGCTGTCGCCACGAGCACTCATCAAGCTGCAAGCACAAGTGCAGGCAATGGTGCGCTGTCTCGACTGTCCTGGAGGACCGTGGTACGCGAAGAAGAAAACGCAGTAGCAGCTGACTACTCCCAAGTGATCAGGTGTCCACTGACTCGGGCCACTGTCGTTGTATCTGTTATTAGGGACGTGGGCGTGATGCTTACGACGGACACGCACGTCCAGAAGCTCAATCGCAAGTTCCGCAAAAAGGACAAACCCACCGACATTTTGTCCTTCCCGTTCCATAAAGTAAGGCGGTGTAGGCAAATGCCATCCACCACTCGAGTCGGACAGGTCTCTTTTCAACTCGTAATTTGTATGATGCAGATTCGTGTTCCTGGACGGTTTCCATGTGTCAAAAGGATGGAGGAACGATATCTAGGAGACATTTACATCAGTCCCGCGTATATCCGACGTCAGTGTGAGGAGTTGCAACCCAAGGAGGTCACGACGCTGGAAGAGCGACTGCCCGTGCTGATGGCACACGGACTTTGTCACTTGATGGGGTGAGGATCCAATGCAATGATGAGGATGTGGATGATGATGATGATGATGATGATGATGGGGATGGTACATGTGGATATTGTTGACTCATTCTTGTGCGTTCTTCATTACAGATACGACCACGAACAGGACGACGACTACGAGCACATGCAAAAGGCCGAGACCCACATCCTTCGCCACTTCTCACAGTTCCTCCCACGTGCATTTGCTCCTGCAACTCCAGCTACAGATACAGACTTGATGTAGTGTCTCGCTGCGGCAAGAACTCACTCACTCACTGCGTCTCCATGCAGCTATGGCATCAGCATTGGTCATTTCTTCTTCTGGTGATTGAGTACTGCGTCCATGCTCTATCAATCCATCAGCTTTGTTTGTGACGATCTAGTTGCGACCCTCGACCATGTCGTACACGATACTCGTGGCCGTCTTCATGATCATTGTCGTGAAACTCGCGTGGACGAACCGGGCTACAAAGCCCGTTGTACCGAATGCCAGCACCTTGTTGATACCACCAGCACGGTACTGCTGTCGAAAGAGTTCGACGGCAGACACCTTTTGACCAGCTTTCGACGCCTGTTGGATCTGCGCGACAAGCACGTCCATCGGCAGCGTCACTGCAGCACTGACCACTCCCCCAAGTAGCGACGAGATCACCTGCTCGCTCGTTTGCAGCACGCGGTCGGGGTTCTTCCGCTTGTACAGCAGGTTTTCCGCCTGTACCGAGAAGAAGAAGCGCGTGGACCAGTCAGCCACGCGCTTGAGCGAGAACATGCCCGACCCCTTCATGAGCGCCATCACCCCCTCTTTCTGAATGACCTTGAAGCCAATGCGCATCGAGCGCGACACGGTCTCGAGCGGTGTCATGTGTTCGCGGAAGATCGGGTCCGTCATCACGCGCGTCTTGAGCAGCAGCGTCGGACTTAGTACAAAGCCCTGGAACCCGCCCCCGATGCCCCCTGCAATGACTTCCGACGCGTCTTTGCTCACAGCTCCGTTCCGAATGAGAGGGTTCAGTCCCGTGCGAGCGACCGAGTGGCCCCAAGCAAAGACCGCTCCTTTAGCTACTCCCTGGAGAGCTCCCCACGGGAGAAAGCCGTCCCAGACACCCACAAGTCCTTTCGCGTGCATGATCTCCTTGGTCAAGTGCAAATAGGAGAACTGCGGCTTCGTCTGCTTCATGATCTTGATGAACTCGAGGTAGTGCCCTAAGGCGAACTCGTACGTGAGGCAGACAGAGGCCCCCACGAGCAGCTTCACTCCTGCTTTTTCCGGCGTAGGCTCCTTCTTGACACTCAGCGCGAGGGGGGGCTGCTGGATCAGGTGGGACCTACCACGTGAGACTCGATCCAGCTGCATGAGGCTGATTAGTGAAGGGGGCGGCATGGAGAGATGAGGGGGGGACGAACGAACGGGGGAGGAAGGAGCTGGACAAAAGCTGGATAATGACTGACGCGGGTCGTGGATTCGAGAGCCGAACCGCGACGTGAACCCGATTGACTTGACGTTTGTATGGACAATGAACGCCCTCAGGTTGAGGCACGAGTAGATTTGCAAACGCTGAACTGCAAGTTCGTAGTCACGTTGAAGTCAAGGAGTGCGACCGACGGTGGGAGACTTGGGCACGAGGTGACGCCGTAGCATGGGCGAGGGATTCCGCGTGGTTATTGATGACTGGTGCGAGCGGGAGCTCGTGACGTCTGCACTTGCTCACTGCAGAACGAGCACTGGGGTTTTGTATCATTATGGTACTGTGGGGTGCAGCACTATGCAAGTGTGGACAAGATGAGCGTGGCACGATCAATGGTTGCCGCACTTCGTCTCCCTGGACTGGATAGAGGCTGGCTCCTGCGTTTGTGCTTCACGCTAACTTGGCTGGACGGGACGTCGAATGGGACGAGGCGCACGTGGAGCAAGCACGTGGAGGAAGGAAAGCATGCACAAGTGCGCCTTGATGTCGGGACATAGCGGGGCTGGAAGTTGGCGTCACACGGTCGTTATGCGGTCGTTATGCGGTCGTTATGCGGTCGGTGTCCAGCCCGTTGGCAATAAAGTGCGTTAACGGTCTTTAGATAGAAACAGCAACCTATTCAAGCAGCTCTAATCGTCGAAATGGTGGATTGCGCAATAAAGAGCGTTATTGGGTGACGACACAGCGAATGAACGATCCCGAATGGAACACACTATTCGAGAACCTTCTCGACACGTGGATGTACACATGCACGTGAACAATGCGCGTACAGTGACGCCCCACACTTCACGACGATACAAAGCACTTCAACCACTCTAAGCCGCATCCATCACGGCCATCACCAGCTCAACAGGAAGCGAGTCTCCATCCCAACGAGCCAGCAATCCAGTCGCGTCTCGTCAAAACGTCAGCGAAATTGAGTGGCTAGCAAGCAGTCACCACCCTATTCGCCCGACTCATCACGGCCCAAAAGTATAAAGTCTTACAATCCCCAACGCTTCCCAAACCGTGTACAACCAGCTCCCCCGCTCGTTTCTCGCTCCGATTCATTCCTACAGCTATATTTGAAACCACAGGTCGTTTCTCGATCCCTTCCAGAACCACGTCAGCCTCCCTGCTCCATCCCCATCGGATTCCGATCCACTTTTTGATTCGACTCGCCCCCAACGGCTCACTCAATCTCTCGCCTCCCCTCCCTTGAACCCCCCCCTCCATCTCTCTCTCTCCCCTTTATCCCCACCTCCTCTTCCCTACCATGTCCGTCATCGGTGTAGACTTTGGCAACGTCGACTGCGTGATCGGCCAGGCCAAGCGCGGGGGCATCGACATCATCCTGAACGAGAACTCGAACCGGAAGAACCCCAACATGGTCTGCGTGCAGGGCAAGCAGCGCTTCATCGGCGAAGCAGCCGTCAGCATGGCGCGCATGCACTACAAGAACACGGCCACGGACGTGAAGCGCCTCCTCGGCCGCAAGTTCAAGCACCCGGAAGTGCAGCAGGAGCTCCAGCAGCTCGCGTTCACGTGCGTGGAGCTCTCAAGCGGCGACGTGGGGATCGTGCTCACGTACAACGACGAGCCCGTGACGTTCTCGTGCGAACAGGTGGTCGCGATGATCCTCAACAAGATGCAGCACATTGCTGCTGCTGCCAACGAAGGCGTGACCCCTGCGTACTGCGTGCTCTCGTGTCCCGGCTATTACACGGACGGGCAGCGTCGCGCGTTGCTGAACGCCTCGAAGATTGCGGGGCTCAACTGCCTCCGCCTCATGAATGAGCACACGGCCATTGCTCTGGCTTACGGCATCTACAAGTCGGCCCGGAACCTCTTCCACGAGACGGTCCCTCAGCACGTGATGTTCATTGACGTGGGCCACGCCAGTTACACCGTGGCCGTCGTGGCGTTCGTCCAAGGGCGACTCACGGTTAAATCCGTGGCTTTTGACCGGTTCCTGGGCGGACGGGACTTTGACTTGGCTATTGCGAAGGACGCAGCAGCCAAGTTTGCTGACAAGTACAAGGTCGCGAACCCATTGGAGAACAACCCCAAGGCCCGCATGAAACTGCTCGCGGCCTGTGAGAAAGCCAAGAAGAACCTCAGTCCGTACGGCGTGTCGGCGACCCAGCTCAACATCGAGTGCTTGGCGGAAGACCGGGACTATAATGCACAGGTGACGCTGGAGGAGTTTGAAGCGCTCATTGCGCCGCTCTTGGAGCGTCTGAATGGACCCGTGGAACAAGCGCTGGCGGATGCGGGCTTGAAAGCGACCGATTTGACGAATGTCGAGATTGTTGGTGGCGGCACGCGGGTCACTAGTGTCAAGCGCCACCTTGCAGAGGTCTTGGGCTTGGACAAGGAGCAGCAGAACTACGGGCTGAGCTCGACGTTGAATGCCGACGAGTCGGTGGCTCGTGGCTGTGCTCTGAACTGTGCGATCCTGTCGCCTATGTTTAAGGTGAAGGAGTTTAGCGTGACGGACCGGGTGCACCTGCCTGTTCGTGTATCGTGGGACGGTAGCGCCTCGGCGGCTGCAGATGGTGCGGACGACGACGAAGACGCAAACATGGAGGCAACTGCTGCCGATGACAGCTCGCTGGTGATCTTTAGTCGCAAGGACGAGTACCCGAAGACGAAGCGCATCACTTTCCGTCGTGACAAGTCGTTCTCGATTGACGCTGCGTACGACGAGTCCGCTAAGGCGTATCTTCCTCTTGACTATGCGATGGACATTGGCAAGTACACGATTTTGGGTATGCCTGCACAGGAAGCTGGAGCTGAGGTCCCGAAAATCCGTGTCAACGTGCAGCAGGACATGAACGGTCTGTTTTCCGTGGCGTCTTCGCAGTTGATGCAGGAGATTAAGGAGGAGGAGAAGCCTGCGGATACCGAAGGCGATGAGAAGATGGATGAGAAGAAGGAAGACGAGAGTAAGAAGGACGACAAGAAGGAGGACAAGGCGGCTGGACCGAAGAAGAAACGCTTCCGCAAAGTCGAACTCATCGTGCAGTCGCAGGTTGGTGGTCTATCGACGACTGATGTGTCTTCTGCCACTGAGCAGGAGCTGAAGATGGCACAGCAAGACCGTGTGATTGAGGATACGTTCAACAAGCGTAACGAGCTCGAGAGCTTTGTGTACGAGATGCGTAACCAGATCACGGACAAGCTAGCTGCTTTCATCACTAGCGATGAGAAGAGCAATCTCGAGAAGAAGCTGGTGGACACGGAAGACTGGCTGTACACGGATGAAGGCTTCGACAGCACGAAGTCGGTGTACCAGCAAAAGCTAGACGACATGCGCAAGCTGTCTTCGCCGGTGGAGTTCCGTCAGACGGAGAGCACTGAGCGTGGCGTTGCTCAGGCTGAGCTCACGGCTGTGCTGGAGGAGTACAAGCGCATGGTGAATTCGGGCGACGATATGTACTCGCACTGGACGGAGGACGAGAAGACGAAGCTCCGCCAGACGTGCGTCGACGCTGAGACGTGGCTGTTCGACGGCCTCGCGAAGCAGGCGGATGTGAGCCCAATGGATGCTCCAGTGCTCACGTCGGCTTCTATCCGCAGCAAGATCGTGGCTGTTCGTGCCGTCGCTCTCCCAATCACGACTAAGCCCAAGCCACTACCCAAGGTCGAGACGCCACCTGCTCCCGAGACTTCTGAACAGGCTGCTCCATCAGAAGAGAAGGACGCGACGGAAAAGATGGACCTCGACTAAGGTGTCTATCTAGTCCTGACGACGGTCCGAGCAGAGAGCAGGTATTTGCATGTGAGACACACGAGTGCTAATTGCTCGAGAAGACGAGGCGAGGCAGGCAGGTAGCAAGAAAAAGTAGTACTTGGGTCCATGTCATAACGGTAGAACCAAATTCTTCATCCCAGATTCATGTTTTCGTTCCAAGGTCCTAACCAAAAACGTGTCCGTAGTTAGTATCCATTCATCCGTCGACGTGACGTTTCTAAACCACTCGCGTTTCTAACCAGTCTCGTCATTTCACCATCTCTTAAGTACGGTAAGGTAGGACGAAACCGCTCGCTCGACAGACCATCACCTCAGCAGGGACCATGGCTAGGTACGCGGTCTGCAGCACTCGCTGCTGCACGTGGGAAGCCAGCATCATGACCGCCTCACTAACTAACTGACTGACTGACTAACTCACTGTGTTAATGTATCGGTTCTTCCTCCTTCCTCTTGCAGCACTGGAGAGAGCGAGTTCAAGCGCGTCCAGGAAGACGACGAGGAGTTCCAGAAGGGGCCGCTCTCTGTGCTCATGCACAGCGTCAAGAACAACTCGCAGGTGCTCATTAACGTGCGCAATAACCACAAACTGCTCGCCCGTGTCAAGGCCTTTGACCGCCATTGCAACATGGTGCTGGAGAACGTCAAGGAGATGTGGACCGAGGTGCCCAAGTCGGGCAAGGGCAAGAAGGCAGCGAAACCGGTGAATAAGGACCGCTTTGTCAGCAAGATGTTCCTGCGCGGAGACTCGGTGATCCTCGTCCTGCGCAACCCACACGCGTAAGCCGGTCAGTTGGTGCCTGCAGCTGAGTGAACGGGTTCACCGACAGTTCCACGGGGTTATCGAGGCTACTGCAGCGTGACCAAGGAGGACGGACGTGCTCGTAGAGGAGATACTTGCTGGAGGTGTGGAGGTTGCACCCACATTGCACTTCGTAGTCTCGTGAGTATCCTCGAGTTGCAGTCCGATGCCACGCAGCTTTTAACGTGATGCTTCTGCTGCATGCTTCTTGGTACTGTGTGTGTCCCTTGCCTCGTAGGAATTGTACGGACGTTTTTGCTCATTGCAGATGATATAGACAGCTTAAAGTCCCGCATGGCATCACGAGTGGCAAAGATGAGCAAACAAACGACCAAGTGAGCAAGTCTCATGATAGCAAGCAGTGGACATGAAAGCATTCGGTTCATTTTATTCCCTTCGGTCTGTACGCCACGCTTCTCCGACTTCCACGCAAACTTCGTATCGCTTTTGTTGCACGTGTGCTCGGCACATACCATATACAGCAGTGTCGTGGGCCAGCTCGTGCATCTACGGAAGCGTGCGTGGCCACAGACAATTTGCAGTTCACGCTCCTTCCGTGCGTTGTGACCATCGTCATCCTGAGTGGAAAGCTCGTGCCACCACGCACATCTCACCATTTTTAGCTTACAGTTACACCACTGATGACGGCGTGAGGAGAGACTTGGACTGCTGCAGCACCTGTCTTTTCGGCGAGGTCGACATCTCACTTTCGCCGTCAAACTCGTGCACGTTTGCAAGCAAACCCTCGCCATCGCTGCCGCTACTGTTGCTGCTTGTGCTGTCAGGTACGTCATGGTCAGCGGCTTCGTTGGTACCATCCGCGACCGCGGATTCTGTTACTGATACATTGTGAATAAGGGTGCTTCCAATGTCATCCAGAGATGCTTCTGCTGCTGCTACAGTCGACATTTCGGCAGTGTGAGCTGGCGTCTGCATAATCTCGATGGTAATTTCTGCCTGAGCACTTCGTTCGTGCACAGGTGCCAGTGTTGACTCGTGTGTCATGGCTTCATTTGACATTGAAGGCACTAATGAAGGCAATGAAGCTAGCGTGCTCGGTGCACCGAACGTTGATGCTTTTGGTGTAACCGGAGACTCTAAAGGTGTCTCAGAGGCCCGTGATTCATGAACGCACGTCGCATTACGGTCCAGTAATGCAACCGAAGAAGACGATCGTGCTTCCGCTAATGGTCGCTCAATGGACATTGCATCTTCCACGACTGGAGACGTCTGTGCCAAAACGGACAGGCCCGGCGGGTCCACAAACGAAACTGGAGCGGGAGGCACAGACATCAATGTAGCCACAGCTTGAGCAGAGGCGGAAACCGCGACCGGCGTGTTTGATCTCCTGGAGCTTGAATCTGAAATTGAACCAGCTCTAGGGTGGCCTTGAGATCGACTCGGAGCATTGCTCACGACAGAAGCAGTCGCTGGTACAACTGGATCATGGATGCGAGCGTCCGGGTGGAAGGCGCAAACATCCTCAAAAATTAATTCCTGCAGCTTCTGCTTAGTCAAGTCAGAATTCTCGAATGCGAAATCAAATGGCGATGGACATGTCTTCTCCACGGATCGATCGCGCACCAAGCTTATGTACGGATGCGCAAGGGCATCTTGGATCGTAATGCGCTTCCGTGGATCGAATATTAGCATCTTCTCGAGCAGATCAAGACAATGCGGTGTAGCACGCGGGTAAACGGATGACAGCGGTACCTTCGGCTTTTTTGGCTGACGCAAGATAAACCGCTTCGCTTTGGGGTTAGTGATGAAATCTAGCGAGTCCTCTGACGGTGACCCGACAACGTCCATGATAATCTTTAGCTGGTGCAAATAATCATGGCCTGGAAAAAGAGGCCGCCGTCCAAGCATCTCTGCCAAAATACATCCAATGGCCCACACGTCCATCTGTTTATCATACTTCGATGACAGCAGCAGTTCGGGGGCGCGGTACCACCTGGTGACGACGTACTCTGTAAGACCCGAGTCCATGCCCTGAATGCCACGAGCGAGGCCAAAATCGCACAGCTTCAAATCGCAATCCGAGTTGACCAAAATGTTTGATGGCTTCAAGTCGCGGTGCAGCACCTCAGCAGAGTGCACGTAGTTGATAGCAACCAGCATCTGATACAAGAAATACTGCACGTGATCATCGCTAATCGATTGATTCGAATGGATAACACGATGCAGGTCGGTTTCCATAAGATCTGTCACAATGTAAACGTCATTGAACTCTTGCAATGTCGGGGGCCGAAGCAGATCGAGCAAATTCACCAAGTTCGGGTGGTTCAAATGGCGCATCAGACGGATTTCGCGCAGGATGCGCTTTGCGTCAATGAGATCATTGAAAGCGTTCGGGATGTTCTTGATCGCTAGTGCTTGACCCGTCTCCGTATCACTAGCAGCAATCACACAGCCGTATGCACCTTGACCCACCGCCTTAATCATTTGATAACGCTTCGGAACATCAAAGTTTGTGTTTCCCACCCGAAACTGATGATTATCTCGCTTGATATCGCGGAAAGAACAACCACGGGCCAGCGCAACGCGGTGACTCATCGACTGCGCTGTTGATCCTGACGGACGCACATGCGGCGTTGGCGCATTCGGATCCAAATCGGGCGAATTCGCCTCAATAACGCTTCTCGACGCAGCAAGGTTTGAGCGAGACATCGCAGCAAACGAGGCCATTGAAGCTTCAAAGCTGATGCTGAGCTGTACTCGTCCACAAGTAAACTTGGCCTCGTTCGCAGACAATAACGTGTACCACTGCGGGACAGCACCTCGAGCGATGTCAGTGTGTATCACACTCTCCCGAACTGTTCGCGATGTACTGGCCAACGCCAGAAATGGCGCAAGATTCACCTTAGCAACACCAACGACATGCTCTAAAGCCTCGACAGTTCCATCGCCGTCCATCACTTCCCACGCTTCAATCAAGATGAAGCATGGCTTACCTCTCGAAGATCCAGCGAATGAAATCTCATGCTTCGAATTCCACTTGGGATCTCGCGCTTCCACTGGGTCGCACGTACGTGTTCGTGCCACACAGTTTGCAGACGCCGTCGGTGCATATACATTCGTCTTTCCATCTGTCACCAAGCGCAGTCCCAAGAAAATACGACGAATCGACGCCCGCTTGTCGTCGTCAGCCCCCGATCCGTCCGTCTGCTCGTCCTCGTCAATGAATCCCTGGTCCGAAATCTGCTCACCACGGAACACAACAACGTGAAGTCTTCCTGCCGGATTGTCATGGACTGTATTACCCACAACTGCAGTCATCGGCAGCGACAAACTCGACGTCGCGTTGCAGCCAAAGACCGCCGAGGCAGCAATCGGGTCTGCCGAGATAGTCAGACTCTTGACCCGTCCGTCCGGTGCAAACTCGATCGTGTGCTGCCACTGCTGTGTGAACTTGCGTCCATTGTCTCGATTCTTCATGGTCTCTCGACCCGCAACAACAGCCGTACACCCTTCCTTCGCTTGCGCGATATCCGTCACAAAAAAGGCCGTAATCTCCACTGTCTCGTACAAGATGGAAAAGAAATGCAGCACACCGTCAAGTCCATGGTACTCCCCCCAGAAGGGCACGGTCGGTGCGTAATTCGACGTGAGAACCACGTCTCTCGACAATTTCGGGAAAAACTGCGGCGACGACGAGTGGGAGATGAGCAATTGGCGGAAAGCAAAGTAAAAGCCTCGGAGATCCACTTGCGTCGGACTCGACTGTATCTGCAGTGCCTCGAGTCCCTCCATCGAGAGCGTTCCGCCGTGCTTCGTGCCTTCTTCAATAGCTGCTTGCATCATCTCGACCCACATGTCCTTCTCCAGCTCGGAAGAGCAGCACAAGTGAAAGTGTTTGTGACTCTGCGTCTCGAGGAAAAAGCCGTGCGCTTTGCCGTAATTCTCCGGGCGGACCTTGAGCAACAGCATGCGACCGCGGAGATTCCGCGCACTCCGCGCGTCTTCCTTCGAGTTGTAGTACGTCAGCGTTGGGCCATCCAGGATGAGGTACCGCTCCTCCCAGCGAGGGAGCCAGTCGCCCTTTTTACGCACGTACCCTTCCCAGTGCACTTCGTGGGTCAGGACGGCGGACGTGGAGGCGGAGGACGAGGCCATGAGCATGTCGTCCATGTTGGTGGGGGCGGAGTGGGGAGCGCCAAACGCAGTGGAGGAGGTGGAGAGGGCGGTGAGGAGCAGGTCGCGGCCCTGAGTTGGAAGCGCGGGGGCGGCCGAGTCCATCGGACGAGAGCGGGAGAGCGCGAGGGAGCGAGGGATGAAGGTCCGTCCGTCGTCTCGAGCTCAGCTTTGCACCCTGCCGCCAGCTGAATTGTTAGGTTGAGTTTGATTTAGTTTAGTTTAGTTTGGTTTAGTTTGGGTGGGGTGGGGAAGTGGGGTTTGTAGGTCTTGTTTTTTTGTGTTTGTAGGTTCGGGCTTGCTTGGAAAGAGATGGCGACGGGCCAACGGGTTTTGAAGCGAAGGCTTGTGTGGACTTGATTATTGGACGATGGAGGGGGAGGCGTTCCAGAACACGATGTGGTGGGGCGGATAATGTGCAAAAGAAGGCAGAGCGTGGTCGCGGGTCGCGGGTTGTTTCTGTACGGACGATACATTCTGTTCTACGAAATGCACGCCTGTCGAAAAGGAAATGTGACCATGCACGACGGAAAGAGAAGTGTGTGAGCTGTTTTTGTAGGTATTCGAGGAAGACGATTGAAGTTCTTCTCCTGTTTCCTCGAATCTACTCCATAGTTTGAGCGAACATGGCTCAAGAAATGGGAAATACGTGCACAAAGGAGAGCAGTGGACGCACTGCTGGCTACAATCGGACAGCAGAATGCATGAGGTAACGAACGATTGTACCGAACGATTGTACCATGCTCTTTTCCTTGCAGTATCGCCGACAAGAACAAATGTTTCCAGAGGAAGTAAGCTGATACGTTACGAGGTTCTCCTTTTCCGCTGCCATTTCGTGAAGAGCTGCTGTACAAGCGCGCAGTTCTTCATCTCGTGCTTGTCAAACGCATGTGTCACCATGAAATGGCTCACGGCTTTGATGCGTGTCGTCAGTATGACAACCGTGTTCTGCTAACTATAGTTTACGGGATTCATCAATTCTATTTTTCAAGGAGCGAGGTAACCTCGAGTGCGGCTATTCCTAGGACAACCTACAAACAGGACGTGCGCGATGAGACGTGCCAGTTGTTGGTTTCGTTCCCCGTCGTGCTGTTGACGATTCTGTGTGTCCCACCACTACCGGCACGACTTGCTGAAGTAACACTGAATCTCTGGGGAACGAACTCACTAGCCACACACGAAGTTGCGGTTGGACGCGACCCCAAGCGCTTACTTCATCGCCGCAAAGAACGGCAGTTTGACCATGCGAAGGCTAGTCGCATGTTTATATCCGACGAAACGTTCATCATCGCCTCCATAGTCGGTCAGTCCCGTGTGTGTGTGCGTGTATGGCGTACAACCTCACGAAACACTAAACACGATCTCAAAGAGAGGGATGTAGCGTGCTGTGTGTTCTTCGCATCTTGTGCCAGTAACATCAGAGACTAGCTTCGAACCTGCCACTCTGAGTCGTTCTTGGTATTTAAAGCAGGAGGTTTGATCTGAGAAATGGTGTCTACGCCGACAAAGAATGAGCAGGTACGATAAAGCCGTCAAGTGTTGCATCACTACGGCTTTGCGTAATGATCTCAAGTGCAGTACTACGTCACTGCAGCCACACATAACGTTGTCGACAAAAGGCATGGCGAGACGTGTTACGTGTCAGTGAACAGACGACCATGCAGTGTCGCTAACTTCTTCCGAAAGTTGGCATCGGTTGTAATGCCTGGAGAACTGCCAAGCTGTCCTTTGAACGGTAACGTCTCCATATGCTAGTTGGAAGCAAAAGGAAACGGAGTCAGTCAATTAGCATCGCATGGGTTGATTCACGCGGAAAGCTCTGGCCCCATCCCCTTCCTCCCGTCGTCGCAAGTGCGAGCTTATAGGAAATTCAGTCGTCCAGAAAGGGCTCTCAATTACTACATCCTGCAGCAGTGTCTTAAGGTTCTTACTAGGGTACGACGAGAAGGCTTCGAACGCACAATTGTGAATACTGCGAAACTTACGACGTAGGACAGAGTGTCCTTGATTCAGGATAGGAAGTAAGAAGTTTACATGAAAACGCAAGCGCTCGTGGATCAGTACGCGACTTGAGCTCAGCTATCGGGTACTTTCGGGCTCGTCGTCGCTTCGTCACTTGCAACACCAACGACTACACGATATCAGCTACATGTGAGAAGACCAACGAGTGCGACGAATGGACGCTAAGGTTTATGCATAAAGTCCTGCAGGTAGTGCGTCATGTTTTCGGGCTTGGACACGGTAGTATCACCTCGCTTGAAACCCTGGAGCAACAGCAGATACACAACATCGTGTAAGATATTGTTGTAAAAAGCTGATAACAAGTAAGACGTCCCAGCATAATCAGCAGTAGCCTCCGCAATCTCAAGCGAAACTTCCTGGATGCGTGTCAGTGGTGGGTAGACACAGCCAGTGTCCAAGTCCGAAGGAGTGACCAGACTGGCTAGTGTGTTTGGCAGCGATGATCATGATTTCATCGTCCACGTGGGTCAGACCAGCAGCAACCACGCCCAATCCAACACCAGGGAAAATATAGGAATCATTGCCCTGTCCAGGAACGCAGAGCTTTCCATCGATCTCTACCGGGTCGAACGGGCTGCCACTCGCGAACATGCACTTGCCGTCCGTAAATGTATAGGCCTCCTTGGCTGTACACTCGGACTTGGATGTAGGATTGCTCAGCGCAAAGATGATCGGGCGCCTGTTGATCTCGCCAATTTTCCGACACACGTCTTTGTCGAAGGCTTTTGCGATGGTGCACACCCCAATAAGTGTTGTGGGCTTGATAAGCTCAAGAGCGTCCATGAGGTTTGAACACGCTGGGGCATCGTGTGCGACTCAACATCGATCCGGGACTGCACAACGAGGCCAAGAGAGTCCACGAGCCAGATCTGTTTCCGAGATTCTTCCATTGTCTTGCCGGTCTCACGAGCGATTGCCAACGAGGTCAAGTCGGCGATGCCCCTGCCGGCAGTTCCGGCACCCACAAAAACAGCTCTTTGCTCCGACATTGGCTTGCCTGTTGACGGCACTGCGGCAAGGAGACCAGCAAGTACCACAGAGGCAGTGCCTTGGATGTCATCGTTGAATGTGCAGTGCGTGTTTTAGTACTTCTGCAGCAACGGGAACGCTGTGGAATTGCCAAAGTCTTCGAATTGGAGCAGCGCTTTGTCTTCGTACTTGGCTTTCGCGGTCTTCATAAACCCTTCCGCAAGTCGCTCAAACTTGTCACCTCGCACGCGCTCCTGACACAGATCAATGTAGAACGGTTCAGCCAGATGTTCCCCATTGTTTGTACCGCAGTCTCGCGTGACTGGGAGACACATTTGAGGTGGAACACCAGCGCATGCTGTGTACAGCGCGAGCTTCCCGGTAGCAATCCCCATTCCATTAGCACCCTGGTCGCCCAATCCGAGGATCCGCTCACCGTCGGTAAGACAAATAGCACGGATATCCTTCTCCGGCCAATTGTCTAGGATCTCAGCGACGTGACCGATGTCGTACATGGAAACACAGTCCTGAAGGTGTCTGACGGTAAATGTGGCTGAATGCTTGGCAGGCTTAACCGACTGTTGGCGTGTACACAATCGGCAGGAGCTCGACAAGATTCTGGGTAAGTATCCGGTAGTACAACTTCTCATTGATATCCTGCAAGTTCTGCAGGTAAATGTACTTTTCCAACGGTTTGCTCTCGCATCGTAGTTGCTGTATGGCGCGCTCCGTCTCAAGCTCCATAGAGGTAAGTGCAAAGGGCAGGAGGCCACGGAGTTAAAATGTCGCTCGTTCCTCCTCGGTGAAAGCTGGTCCTTTGTTCATAAGGGGTGTCCGCATGATGGCAAAACCGGACTTCGATGACATTGTGGTAATGCACCTTACCTATTAGTCATCCAAGCTCTAGTTGAAGCAAACGGGAGCGATTTCGTTGACGTACCATGGTGTGGCTGGCAACATGTTTATGGCGACCCGTCTCAGCTTTGGCATAGTAGAGCTCACTTGACGGTTGTAAGTTATCTTCTTCAGCGCAGTAAAAGACCTCATTGTCATAGTGAACGGGACCCCTGCGTGTACCTCAACCGCTCGGCTTTCCAAAAACCTTTACCGTACGCGGTGCCGAGCATCATGTCTAGATCAGCTTCAATCAGAAAATGTGCTGGGTCAGCAGTTGAATTGATGCAACGTGGAAATTGTGTCGACAACGTCGAGGTGTCAGCCTACGCTAGAGTATCGAGTAGGCAAACTCAGGGACCGACCTCCGCGATATTTATTAGCGAAGGTATGCAAGGGGAGCAACGCAATGATCGAGCACCAACTGAGTGAAGTCGATGACTCAGCATCCGTGTCCAACGGCATGAGTGCAAAGAAATACAAAAGAACCCTCTTTTCGTTTACAAGCACGGTAATCCTGGACTCATGACACTACAGCGTTGCAGTTGAAGCGTGCGAAGAGGTAGAGTTGATTTGTGCGAAGAGCTACAATTGATCGCGTTTCCTATCGAAAGCAAACGTCGGGAACATTTCTGGCAGGCAGAAGCGAAACTCCACAGAAAGGCACCACGTGCGCTGGCATGGCATGCTCCATACGAGACCTTTGTTGCAAGAAATAGCCTTTGTAGCTTGTGAGCTAGTATTGTGAATACAACTTGGTATATACCCATCGCAGTCGTAGTTGTACTTCAACTGCATGAACTGGCTTGTGGATTCAATCATCTATCCAGCTGTTAGGCTCGATCCTCTGTTTGCACCAGCCCTTTGAATACAAGCTGAGTCATTGGTTATGCCATCAGTGATGGTATTGACGAACTCGTGCATTTCCTTTCGTACAATTGAAGTCCAATTACACTCGCACACAGCTTTCTGTACCTACGTCGAATTTTAAGTAGCACTTTAAGATCGAGAGCACGACAAAAAGGCAGATATGACCAAGCTCTGCTGATAGTGGCGCTGTTGGAAGTTGTAACACGGTACCCTTCGTTTGGGGTCCAACGAAACTTCACGTACACTAGTACGTGCAGAGGAAGCTCATCTACTCAAACAGCTAGTTTAAGTAAAGGTAAAAAGAGAGCTTTATTTAATGCAGCTAAGCTATCATTATAACTGCAGTCCTTATTTAACTATATTGATCTACGCTGTCGTATGACGAAAACCTGCTCACCACTCATTACGCGCGCCTAGCAGCGATTGGTGGTAACCTATGGTTGACATGTCTTTTATCTACCTATCGTTGAGCAGCACATAAAAATTATTTTACAAGGGGATAATTTTTTTCAAGATTATCCATCTCGGGTAATATTGGCAGGAAATTGTCACCCTAGACTATCTACTTAGCGTGAAGATTCCCTGCCAATATTTCCTTAGATGGATATTATTGACACCGTTTGGTGTCAATATCATGTAACGTGCTACCCCGTTACATTACCCCCCCCCTTAACCATCAGTCACCCGTTCATTGATTAAACTGATTGGGAAGGGGTGATCACCGTTAGATCACTCTGGGAAGGGGAGCACTTGTTGGTCAAATTCCAACTCATTTGCCAATTTATCGCATGGCGTCAAAGTCCGTGCGATGTGCTGCCGGAGCAGTAAGAGAAGCAGCTGCACGCATGCGTGCAGCCGAAGAGAGTTTTTCTCTTGCTTCAGCAGCAGGTAGGCCTTCGCCTGATGTTGCGATTCAGCAACAGGCGGTGCCTGTTGTGAATAGTCCACGTGTGAGTCACCACGTGCGACAGACATATCCGCTGCGTCTTCAGCGGCTGCTTTGACTCGCAATGTCGATGAGCCTGAAATAGAGCTCATCGATTCTGGCGAGTTGGATGATCCATCCGACTCGGAGGCAACACCTCACGTCTCCGGATCATCCATGGCGGACACTGCAAGAGTCAGGCTGACTGGCTCTGGGGAACGTGGCGGCATCATGTCCGAGATCTTCGGACCGAGAGATTCGTCTGACGAGTCCTCGTCTCACGCAAGTCCATCTGACAATAGGACGCGTGGTGATGGTAGTGATGCACCTATGCATCACCACGAGAGAAGCAAATTGAGGGATTGAGCTGCCACTGGTGGCAGTGCTCATGCTGACACCACTTAAGAGACCAGGAACCGCAATGTCCTGCGCTATGATCCTCAAGTGGAGTCTACTTGGATGCCATCATCCAAGGAGTAGATCAATTGGCCGGTATGACAACCGCACGGCATCGAATCCCATTTTTTTACTGTAGGAGGATCTGTCTTCCTAATTTCAGCACGGAAACTATTCGTACAGAGGAAGAGTTCTTCACCGATGTGATTGTCAAACATCGGTGGTACCACGGCAACCGTGGTCGAGACAGTAAGGCCTTGGTGCAAGGGTGGAACGCCTTCATACATAAGATCGAGTGTACTGGCCGTGAGGCCTGGCTCGGTGGAATTTGATGCAGCACGCATCAGGTTTGAAAAGCGTAACCCAGTCGGTGTACAATACAAGTTGCACCGATTGTCAAGATAGGCAGAATTACCATGTCTCTCTTGGGGTAAATCTTGTCCAGGTTGCCTGGACAATGCAAATCTTGCCCCTAGGGAGGCCCACCTCCCTGATGTTCCCTTCTGGAGGGCGCGAATCTCTTTTGAGATGTAAGAAGGGTTTGACACTTTGCAATCCCTGTACTCGCGTTCGGGGAGGTCGTTTTACGATGACCCTTCTTCGAATGCAGCGGGCGGGTCTCGTCACATCGCTCGACGAGACCCAGAACATCAACAATCAGCTGGGCGCGAGGCGCCCAGCTGTCCTGGGACGGTGGATAGCCACGCCAGCGGATGAGATAACTCGTCCGGACGCCCTTCACGTCGCGGTGGCTCAAAATACGCTCCACCAGAAAGCGTTGACCACCGCCAAAATCCACCAAAGGATGTGGTGATTGCGGGAACACCCGATCCGGTCGAGGGTCGGATCAGCTGATGTTCAGGAACTGAAACGTGTAGCAGATCAGTTACACGAAGACCTGGCTCATAAATGGACTTGGCGTTATGAGCTTCATGAGATAGTAAAGCACAATTACAAGTCCTTCGCGTACGATTGTTCGAACGATCGTGCCGCATTTGCGTTTGCGCAACTTAAGAACAAACGTTCGATTCGCTCTCTTCGTAACGAGCTGACTGCAGCTCGTCAGGACATTGCTCAACTGCGTGAGCAGGTCGCTTCGCTAGTCGAACAGACTGGCTCGTTGAAATGCACCACTCAAAGGTAATCTCGGTCCTTAACCGGGGAGGTGTTCTTCGCCTCTCAAAACGGGCTCGTACTGATAGTACGGGAGGATACGTCAATCGTAAAACGTTAGATGCCGTTTGAATCCTACAAGGCAGTTCAATCGTATATGCGTTGCTCATGCGGCGCAATGCAAGAAATGGACCGATGTACTTGGGCAGTAAATTACTGCTGCCCACGTTTTTCTCTGGGTGTTTCGGTAGATATACTATAGACAGTAAAAATAAATGTTTTTCATCAAATGAAGAACATTTTCCCTTCAATGTTTGTCTGCGTTTCTTTTTGCTTGTAATTTGCATCTGCAATAGAGTCTTAAGCGAAGCGGACAACTGCTTTGCGAGTCAGCAGAATTCCGCTGCTGACCCATCCTTGTTAGCAGCAGTTCATTTCGTGTGAAGTGCTAAAAGATCGTTGTCTTTACTAGTGAGGGCGTCATCGTCCTCACTGTAGCAGTCATTGTCGATGTTGAATATACCAGCATTGCCGTCATCATCATCATCGATGTCGATGTGACCGACATCGGCATCCATCACGTCGACACCGTTGTCGACTTGTGATGAGCAAGAACCAGATCGGTTTTCTTTCGAGCGATTCTACCCCCCCCCCCTTATAATAGAGTCACACTCTAAGAAGGCGGTTAAACGTGGATGGCGTAGGCCATTCACGAAGAACGGTGTATGCGCTGTCGAGGCATGCATCGAGTTGTTGATAGCGAATTCTGCCATGGGCAAGAATGCACTATAACTCGTAAGCGAGTGGACATACCCGCGAAGTATCTCTTCGAGGACGCGGTTGACGCGTTCCGTCTGACCATCTGTGTCAGGATGGTCAGAAGTCGACATCCTCAAACGTGTTCCAAGTGAACGGAACACGGATTGCCAGAACTCCGCTATGAAGCGGGGCCCCTATCAGACACGAGTTCACGGGGTAACCCGTGAAGTCTGAAGATAGTATCGATAAAGACACGAGCACAGCCCTCGGCTGTGATCGACTCCGGTACAACAACAAGATGTACCATCGTTCTGAACCGATCAACAAACACACAATACGAGTATTCTTGTGAGCCTTTGGGAAATCCAAGACGAAGTCCATCGATACGGACTGCCAGCACTCTGCCGGAATCAGTAGAGGCTGCAAGGGTGCACGGGATGAAGGACTAGGCTTCACCCGTTGGCAAACTTCGCAAGCGCCAATGTATTTGCGCACAAACTCATGCTGGCAAGTCCAGGAGAAGTCACGGCTTACCGTGAAGTAAGTATTTTCTCTACCGCGATGCCCACTTGTTGGGGCATCGTGACACTCATATCTTTCGTGCGCAATCTCAAATCATCATGGGCGGGAACGACGACACGAGGTGTGTCGCCATTGACTGCTGTAAAGTACAGCAGTCCATCACGAACCGAATACCGTTCGGTTAGAGAGCGGTATTGAGACGACAAGCTTTTCAAAGCTTGACTGCATGGATTAGATACGTAATCTATCAATCGTAGAAGAGACT